AAATGCTTTGAAAGTTAGAGTTAACGTATAGTGATACATGTAGCTGAAAATTAGCCATTCAATGCAACATTGCCGCTTTTTGCTGTTTTATTTCAAAATCAAAAATACAAATAAAAAGCACAGAGCTTAGTTATTGTAGACATCATGTCTGAGTGGTGAGCTTATTCTAAAAAAGAAAGACCTCGGTTCTGATTCTTTCTGGTACAGTAGTAGCATGATGCCCTCCATAACTTTAGTTTCTGTGTTCATTTGGCAAGCTCTAGCAGTGCATGCAAGTCTTTTTTTTCAAATCGTGAAATTTAAAAGAAATGACTGCATTAATTTAGATGAAACAAACCAATGATATTTAAACACCCCCCCCCCAAAGTTTTAGCCTCATTATTTCCAATCCAACTACTAGTGCAAACGCCACGCATTAAATCTTGTATCCATTTGGCAAGCTACCATCTTAAATCAGGATTAGAAACCCACAAGTCCCGTAATTTTGCAAGCTTCCCCATTTACTCTTATAGGCTTTTCTGCTGACCCCAATTAGAAGCCAATACTGACATAATGCATGCCGCACTAATGATCCGATTGTACACCTGCAGTAAGTGTTCCTTTTTTTTTTAAAGTCTCTTTAGTTTCTTAAGCTTCTTATCAATTTTTTCTTAACATCTCTGCATTAAGTGTCTTCAGGTTGTCTAACTTGCCATTTCTTTTTAGTTTGCAAAAAACGGAAAATGCATAATGCACATACATGTACATATACAGATACGTACAGTAGTGTATATAATTATGCTAACAGAGATTTTTGGAAACTTTTGAGCTTCGTAATATTTTCGTTTCAATCCATGAACACAAAATTTATTCTCAAAAGAATTGAGAAACAAATTAAAGAAATGAGGATGTTGATTGCAACTTTCTAAAGAATAGTGAAATACAGTATTTGTTTATGCCTTGCACTCACGCGTTAATCAGAGTGCTCATTCCTGTATTATTACATGCAAGTGCAGTCATGCATGGAACCCCCATGGCAAAATACGCTTTAACCTCGTTCAAGTAGTTTCTGAAGTGGGGCACATTTTCCCACCTCATTTATGGAGCAGGACTTGCGTTATTGCCACGTAAGAACCTTCACTTCGATATACATGTATACGTCAGAGGTTGGATGCATGCTTTCATGAATTCTCCACAGGGTCAGAAAAAAAAAGATGTGAAAAAGATGTGAGTGCTGGAAATGTGCCAACCAGTCTAGTTCAGGGGATTGATTTTATCCAGAGTTGGGCTGTGGGAATTTTGAACACAACAAACACTACACCTGCTTGGTTAAGGGATGTGAGGATAAAAATCATCTCGGGCAAAAAATGAATGTGTTAATCAACAATGATCCGTATATTTCAGAACAATTGAGACGTTCATCTTAATTCTTCAGCAGATATTGACTTATCCAGATGGCTTCGATAACAACATATGCCAAAATGAGTCTTAAGACATTTTTTATTTGATTTGTATCAGAACAAGTGAACTGAAATTCTTGTTCCGATGTGCCCTCAATTTGGCATCCTTGTGAAAATAGACACGTATGATGTAGGTGAAAAGTCTTGACATCTCTAATTACTTCATGAAAGATCCTTTTAAAAACATTTAATTCCAAAATGGCTCTGGTAGCTTGCAATTCAATTTGTTAGATTTGTTGAGTCAACTAATACAGGAACAGATTTTTTTTCTACAGATAAATACACAATTTTCCAATTTTTAAATCCTTCCTTGATTAAGTTCCATATTTTTGCTGGCTGTCCCGAACTTTCCAGAAACTCTTTGATTTAGACAGTCATGGCTACGAAGCCGAACTAGATGTGGTACATCTACATGCACAAAGTGATAAATTAAACCATTTAAAATGATTTAAACATCGACGAAAATCCAACAAAATATTGGAAGCAAAAGTGACAAAAACAGTAAACAGTAATGCACACAAAAACAATATGGAAATAATTCGGAATAAATTAATAGATAAGTGTTCCTGGCTTGTACACTCCTTTAAACATGCAATAATAGGCCCACAAGCCACCTAGAGCATTATGTTAAGTCCCACACACTGACGTAGTCACTGGTGTTTAGACATCAAAGAATATCTAACGAAATATTGGTAGCAAATAAATTTAAGACAAAAGTGACGTAAACAGTAATACACACCGAAAGGAAATGAAATAATTCTGAAAAAATTAATAGATAAATGTTCCTGGCTTCTACACTCCTTTAAACATGTAATAATAGGCCCACTAGCAACCTCAAACATTATGTTAAGTCCCATACACTGATGTAGTCGCTGGTGTTTAAACATTGAAGAATATCCCACAAAATATTGGTAGCAAATAAATTTAAGGCAAAAATGACAAAAACAGTAAGCATTAATGCACACAAAAAAGATATGGAAATAATTCTGAATAAATTAATAGATAAATGTTCCTGGCTTCTACACTCCTTTAAACATGTAATAATAGGCCCACTAGCCACCTCAAGCATTATGTTAAGTCCCATACACTGACGTAGTCGCTGGTGTTTAAACACTGAAGAATATCCAAAAAAATATTGGTAGCAAATGAATTTAAGACAAAAGTGACAAGAACAGTAAACAGTAATACACGCCAAAAGGATATGGAAATAATTGTGAATAAATTAATAGATAAATGTTCCTGGCTTGTACACTCCTTTAAACATGTTATAATAGGCCCACTAGCCACCTCAAGCATTATGTTAAGTCCCATACACTGACGTAGTCACTGGTGTTTTGTTCGTGTAATCAGCAGCAATTTAATAGTTCACCGTGTCTCATGCCCTTTTTCCCTGTTCGATTGCCGTCGTGCTTACCAAATTTTGTTCCTCTAACTGCCACGCAAACTGATGGCTATTTGCGGCTTAAAGTTTGAATTCTTTTTTTTTCACCTGCAAAGAATTGGTAAAGCATAAAGGCGTCCTGGTCCCAAAGACTTAAAAGATCACATTCCCACAGGGCTGCTTTCGCTCTCTTTCTCTGTCTCCTTTAAGCACATTTCTCTGCTGTTATTTACTATAAGCTAAAATTAGTTGAAGACATTTTTAAAGACAATGTAGAAGTGTAAGTCTTGATAATATAGAAAGCAGATTGTTTGCATGCTGGTAGTTTGCCAAGCCCAGATGTTTTACAGTACGTGTAGATCAAATTATGTAGATTATGAATCGTTGATTGAACTGTTGACTTTTGTGTATGTGTGGTTTCATCAGCAGGTCTATTAAAATTTGGATGTCTGAAGAACAAACTCATCACAGATCCATATTCAGCACTTAAACTGCTTCAAGATATGATGCAGCATCTCATAAACTAGTCCACCCTTCCCAGCAATTGCAACAGGAATGCTGCTGTTCAGGCCCAAAATGCAAATTATGACGGAATCCGGTTTAACCTCCCAACTTAGTCCCAAGTCCACGTTCCATTCTTATGGACAGTTTCAGTCCCTTTGTGCATGAACAGCATATCAGAAGTCCATAAAAATGGAGATGAGCGGATTCTGTCACCAATAAATATGAATTAGAAATGCAGATGGACTGTAGACAGCTGTGTAACTGGAGGCCGTAGACTATTCCTCAGTGGTTTCTGTGGTAATGATGGCCTATGAGAGTCAGTTTGGAGAACTCTGCTGCTGTGTTCTTGCAAAGAGCAGTCCAAATCTAATCAACCCATTATGCCTGTAGTGTACAAAAATGGAGGGCATGCTTGGCATTTTCAAAAGGGATGAGGCATCCTAAATGGAGATGAATCCACTGATGAGTAGGGTATATTTCTGTCTTTAAAGTCATTGAATAATCAGTGTAGAACAAAAGAAAAGGCATGGACAAAGGGAGAAGTGTCTCCCTTCAAAAAGTGAAATATGGAGGTGGGCACCGATTATGCACTCCTCTAGATCTGTTACTTGCTTAATGTGAGACAGATGGGGAGCTAATCGGATGCGTATTGTGTCTGTCTTAGGGATGACTTGGGTAAAATAGGCAGTCATATGGGATCTTAGCAGTGAGTGGATTTTCTTTAAATACCAGGATACCCCCAGCAAAATGACATCTATAAACTGTTACTTAGCATTTGGAGTGCATAGAGTTGCACAGTGTTCCTTTGGGTCTGAGGTTTCATCCAAAGAGGCTTCCAGAGCTACATGTACAGACCTGCCAACCTAGCCATACTCCTGCCTGAGGTCAGCCCTTACCACACAATAGATTAAACGGTATTTAAATGAGCCTGCACTTCATTAAAAATTTTAATCTATTGTGTGGTAATGCCCAACGTACCTCAGGAAGGAGTAAGGCATGTTGGCAGGTCTGCATGTAGGACTGTGTCTGTTCTAAGCAGCTGCCCACGAATTGTGACCAGTTAAAAATCTTGAGACCTACATGTAGTTCTTTAATGCAAGGTAGGGGGCACTTCTAACTCCTGTGGAGGAAGAACCACTCATGAGATTTGGTTGTATTTGTAGGAGTACTTTGCCAAGTAAACATGGGATAAATGTTCAGATATCCATATATTAAATTTTGGTCTGGGGCTATGCATCTGAACCAGGTACCCGAGTATCCCTCCATTGATGTCAGGAACCAGTCGGACAAGTCACCGAGATATTAAACAGAAAGTTTTTAAAAGGTTTTGTTGTTGAGATTTTGTAAGGCAGACTGTTTGAAATGGTTATGTTGACTTTACAGCTATCGGTACGTTTATTTTCAAAGGCTGCTGGTGAGCATTTACTGCAAGACAAAATTTGAATACATTTTCCACAGATAGGTACCTTGTATGATACCTGTGTTTTACTTTCACATGTTATGCTGTTCCTGTATTACCCATAAAATTGACATCAAGAAACCCATAGATGTTCCTAGACATAGGGAAATTTTTCCTATGTCTTGGAACATCTACGGGTTTGTCGTCAAAAGTTTGGTTGAAGTGGTAATTCATAAACTTTCAATTTTCTCTTCCAATTTTATGTTTGTACATCCAGGTCCAAGTTGGCAAAACCAGAGAGGGGCATCCTGTCGTGGGTTACATCGCAGTCACACAACTTCAAGCCGCACAAGGTATGTTCTCCCGTACAGATATGCCACTGATAACTGCGTGTTGGGCCTCCAGAGGAAGTTTTGGCTTGATACTTTGTCTATTTTTAAGTGCAAAATTTTTCGGTTAAATATGTAAGAAAAAAGCAGAAAACGTCCAGCAATATTGTGCTGTGGAATGCCAGAACTTGCAGAAAATCCATTCCCAACTGGATGTTTGTGAAGAGCCAGAGATTTGGCCTTTGTGGTTTGAATCAAAGGGAATTCCGTAAATTTATTAACACCACTCTGGTAGTGTTCATCTCTCAGTATTCATTCCATCTGTCTTGTCATGTGGTAAGAAAGGTTCAACAGCTTGGTAAGAAAGGTTCAACAGCTTGAGCAAGTACAAATATCCTAAAAGTCAAACTTGACTCTTTCTGATTGAAAAATATTTAAGCAGCCCTCACTCTGTTGAGATTTTTTCTTAAGAAGCAAACTGTTGTCCTGAGCTTTGTATTGGTGATATCTTTATTCCTTTATTTCCTGCCTCTTTCATTTAAGTAGCCACCAGGTTGGGTGGCTAATCAACTAGTTGTGATTAACAAGTAATTAACAAGTCTTGTGATATTTTCGCAAAAACTTTTTTGATTTCTAATTTACATTGAGTTTTCTCATTTTGCCCAAACAACTTCTTCCTCGTTGAAGTTCATACATCCCCGAATGCCCTTGAGTGTCACCTGAATCACTTTCATCGATCCTTCCCTCATACATTGCACAGAGCAACGTCATGACCGCACCGCATCGACACCAGTCAGAGACCAGCAAGGTTGGCTAAGTGTTTCTACAGCCAAGTTAACCTCTGTTTCCGATCAACAAGCTGTCAGGAGGAGGTTGCTACAAAGTGTTTGATAATTCTAACTCATACGCTCAAATGACATTCATTTCTTTACAGCCCAATGTTCTGCTAATGTCTGCTGATTTCTAATTATGGCAAAATTATCTGTAGCAAGACTCCAGTTTGTTCCTTTTGGATGTGTACTTCCAAATAAAGTGTGTTTTTTAATAGTGTATTAACCTTTTCATGCCTAATCTAACAAATATTTATCAAGTTAAAATTGCATCTTGCAGGTTGAGGGCTATTGAACAAGTTCTTCATTTGCTGTAGGAATGGAACAACCCACAAAAGCATAATTGTTGTCTGACCCTGTATTGGAGAAAAAGGCAGAAAATCTTTCGTATCAAAATTTCTGCCCTTTGATGTTTCTGCGGTGTTATAAAGGAGTTCATTAAAAGCTTTTTTCTTGCTCTTTTTGTATAGTTTTGAAATTTACAAATCAATATTCCTGGCTGATGGTTATGAATGTCATCAGCCTGTTAGCAGAGTAAAACAAAAATAAAAATTCTTTGACTTTTTCAAACACAGTTGTAAAACAGAAAAGAAATGTGTGCTCTAACAGAGTAGGAATACATATGTTGAATCGCTTGTTCAGAATTCTTTGGCAGCTGGATAAATGGGACAAGACAGGATGATACCAATGGTTAGATTGATTCGTTGTTATCTCATACGCCTCGAATGGCATATAGAATAGTGCAACAGTTATGAATGTATCCCACAGGCAACCCTGCAGGTGTTTCTGTAATACATGCTCATTGCCCAGCATAGTGAAAGGATTATATTGAGCATGTTTCCAGAGGAACTGCAGCAGATAGGCTCTCAGGCCGGTTGCTGTCAAAACATTTGATCTGCCAAACTACGGTGGGTTCATTTTCAAGTGTGCTGTGCCTTGTGCAGTGCAGCTTAGGCCACAAAGCAACAGTTCAGGCCCAATGCATCAGAAACATGTAGACCCTTAGCCACAGAAAACTTAATTAATTTGGCCCATGCAACATTGGTCCGAAGCTACAGCAACTTAGGCACAAGTTTGGCCCCATATATATACCATGGCAACTTGGGAAATCAAGCCAGAGTCTCTCTGGGGAGCAACTTAGACCTACATGTAAAGCCACAACTTAGGTTGTGTCTGAATCACTTGGCTGTGGCTTGAAATTGCACACAACTCAAAGGAAATTGCAGGCTGGCCACGACTACTAGTACCATGGACTTGTCCATAATTGTAGACCGCAGCCAAGTAATTCTGACACAGCCTACACGTAGCTGGACAATGCACTATGAGACATTATGTATGCCTATACCATACCATTGATGGAACATGAGGAAAGGAATATGCGAGTTCATGTACATTCACTCATTCGCTTGTCCATGTCTGTGATTTGATGGCATGGTTTAGGTCATGCCAGAGTGTGAGCTGATCAAAAGCCAGTACATATTCCAACTTCAAGCATGGTGGTTAACCATTGTTTGATTAAATTCACTTGAATGCAGCATGGTGATATGAGACCTTTCTACTTGTAGTTTAATTGACCACATGTATTTCTAACCATACCATAGGAACTCAGTTGTATGTTTTTCTTCTTACAGACTTTGTTTCAGCAGAGGAGCCTATTACTGACATCATAATACTAGTGTGAATATGGACTAGGTGCCATGAGAGCTCTGATGAAATGTAACAAACAGGAAAATGTCAGTAATGATGGGATTTGCCAGTGATCGGCCAGCTGTTTTTTGTGGGACTGAATTATCTGTACGTATTGGTAAAGTTGATCACTGGTTCATAAAATAGTGGATCCCATTTTTTGTACCCGTTCAGGTGAGGTCAGAGAACTGTTATAGGCCTAGTCCTCCTGAAATCGGGATTGGATCACTGAAGAAAAGTAATGCTGGCCACCTGTTTCTTGTGGGCCAAAAAAAATGAATTTGAATGATATGTAAGAGTGAACCTGATACTGCACAGTTTACTGCTCATCAGTTATGCTTTCTGAGTTGTGAGCTGGATGTTGACAGAAAGTTTTGGTAATACCATCTTCTACTGTATGCCTACCCCTACACCACTGCACACAAAAAATAGAAGTACATGTACCCCACAGATAATTGCCAAGGGTAATGCACAAAATGGAAAATGAATTTTTTTCATATGCCTCTCATCAGGCTGGTTGCCGTAGCAACATGTTATTGCAAATTACTGCTTTTATTAGTAGAGAGGACAAAATTGTGTGTTGAAATAGAAGAAGAGCTTAATAGAGCAGTGATTAATGTGGGATTTGTGATGGCTGATGTGGAAAGGACTAATACGGTACATTTGATTCCCCTCCTTGTAATAATACTGAAGCCTAATCAGTCACTGTGCTAATGAGGCGCAGTGTAAATTCACAAACATACACATGGTATTTACATGCAAATGAAGATCCTGGGATACATTATGGTTACATTTTTATCACTGAACCCTGTTTGGGTGTAATTTATAACGCAGGTTCATTGTTGGGCTTACATGTGGCAGGGTCCGACAAGTTTCCTCTTCTTGTGTGCTCAGGCTGGCTATAGGCACGTTGATACATGTACTTTGGGTCTAAAATACACATAGTAGGTGTATGAATCTTACCATTTAAGTGCCGTTTCACATGCGTTGCTGTATTCAACTCAGTTGTGTGTTCATTTGTGTAATAAGAATAATCCTATTAGATGTTTTTATGGATGGAAATGCAGTACACCATTTCAAACAATCCCATTGATATAATTTAATCCTGTTGATCTTTCTGGTTACATTCATGGCTGAAATTCTGCTTTGCCGGTAGCCCAGCCTTCCCGATATCACGCTGCTTCTACAAAAACGGACAAATCATAGTCACGACTCACAAGTTAGGCTTAATCTCATTGCTGTTCCCGTCCTGCACTAATGCAAACTCAGAGCAAATAACCTTGCTCCTGATAGCCCCTGCAACTCTGACTATAACCAAAATGAAATTACCTGAACCAAGTTCCATATTGATACAGCAAACCCAACGGTGACAGTTACCCCTGTAACTCAATTATAACAGCCATACTGGCTACCGTGCAGTTATTAAATGTGAGTATATAACCAAGCTCTCGAGTAGACAGTACTTTTTTTTTTCATTAGTAAGGGATGTTTTCTCAGAGTCTTAAGGAAAATTCTGTGACTGTGACTTCACCTGGATTTTGTCACAAAATTGAGTGATTTTGACTTCAAGGAACATATCCTTTTTATGTTTGGCTAATGTGTTGCGTCAGTCATTTCCCTGACCAGAACTAACCAACTGCCCCAAGTTCCCTGTTTCCACCTACAGTGTACATATTTGCAGATGAATGCATTCTCCGTCATTGTAAGAGCCATCAGGATCGATGTGTAATCCTATGTCATATGCCCACTTCCCTCTTTTTCTGACACCTCATGACCAGTTCTGACGGACAGAATTTACTACCGCATATTTGCTGTTCATTGCAACTTGTTCGTGTTGCCTGAACGATAACCGGGAACGTTTTTCCCCTTCCTCTTTGTATTTGGGCCTCCCAGAAACCAATATCCGCTCGGGCCAGCTGGATTGTGTTCTGAACTGGTTGAGCAGTTTCCATAGTAACACCCACACTGAGTGCTTGGAGTTGGTAGCATTCGACCTTCTTTGTGGCAACTTCAATTTTGACAACATGTCGCCAGGTAAGGAACATGATTTGTTGAGGCTTGCTAGTCATTATAATAATGCAAGCCACGTTGAGAATATGAAGATTTTGTAAAGTGTAAAAGCCGTATTAAACTGTAAAAAATATTAAGTGCAATTTCTGAGCCCTGGTTAGACTTGGGGCTTTTCGTTTACAGTTGTAGCATTAGGGCCCAGTTTCATAGAGCTGCTTAGCAGATTGACATAATGGCTCAGCAAATTTTTGTGCTGAGTACAAATAACTAGAGATTAACCAGTGCAAAGTATTAATCTCTAGGGCCATTTTACACCGAGTGTTGCACTGATTCATGGTGTTTTTTGTGTGGTCTGAGGATGTTGCACACAAATTTGCAGGCTTGCTCTGGTAGGATTCGAACCCACGACTTCCTGCTTACTCCACTGAGTTTGTCAGGATCAGGCGGCTGGATCAAATCCAATGCATCAGCAGGTCACCGCAAGCAGTCTGATATTTGGATCTGTATTCAAACCAGCCTGTCGATTCCAGCAAAAAGTAAAAACAGTAAACTAATAAAACAGGCTGGTGATATTTTTTGCAACTCTTGGACCACACTGAGATCATAGTGTATGATGTAAATACACTGTACATAAGTATTAACTTCCCCAAAGCAAAGCCAAATTAATATAATTGACCCTAAGGTATTAAAGTTTAAGCGACAACCATTGTAAACCGTACACGGCCATAAGTCACCTAAACAATTGATGGTTTGGACCATCTCGCCAACCGTTTCGAGCTAGGCCCCAGGGTTATTAGTCACTCCACTGGTTATCAAAAGCCTGTTAAATTTATCAGTACAGAGGGAACCATTCACATGAAAATAATGGTATGAGACGTTATTGACCATGAACGTCATGAGAGTTGCAGCTAACGGCAAAATGTGATGTCGAGATCTTACCAAACAGTTCAACTATGCAGGGTTGTTTGAGGATGAGTGTATCGTGCATGCACATGGTTAGAATCTAGTTGACTAGCAGTCGAACTTGCCCCTATTACAAAACTTTAGTTGCCAACCTGTTTTCGTAAGCGTATATGTATGTATGTATGCCGCTGTGTGTTGTGTTCTTGACAAATTTTCTGTGTTTGCCAAAGCAGCTATGTGAAGTTGATGCCACACATCCTTTATGTACACAGTTATGTATTTGGGCGAGGAAGTCTTATTGGCATTCACGGCATCTACTGTGGGTGCTAGCTTTCTATCACTGAGGTGTAGGCCAGTCACATTTCACTTACTGTCAGTCCCCTCCCCCCCCTTTCTTTTTTTGTCACTGCTGTGCGCTCGATGAATCTCTGATGGATGGTTCCCATCTCTGTCATATGATTGCAGATACCATGAGAACCAGTACTAGTGGTGATAATTTTGATCAGTGCATGGAACGAGCTTGCCATGATAGCCGATGTGGTGCCACCGGACAGAACATTCCAGACATGCATACTGTCCAATGATGAATTTCAAAGAGATTGACGCGCAAGTAACATTCATGTATATACACGCATGTTTTGTACTCTAGCTGTTGAAAATGCTGCTGGCACAAAATGCCAGAATAAAAACACCAGGTGTTGTCGCAGGTGTTCTAAATGCATATTTACTGTGATGAAACTTGTGTTTCATGCATTCTAAAACTGCAGGCATGCATTTTGACAATTAGTAGCAACACCTTACGGTCTAAGAGGTGTTCCACACACGTAGGATGTGTACACTGCATCTACGGTAGGCTTCCAGTTCTGGTCACCAAATTTATTGGTTATGCCACGGCTATAGATAGTGAATTTTATTGGTCGCGTATTGATCACCATGTGACTTGCTACTACATGTAGCACGCATGTACATGTATTACTTACGCATTACGTTCATTGGCGATGTTGCTGGGCTACAAACAAATGATGGATAACAGAGATCTTGCCCACCGTTGATTTATCATGTCAACTGCATTGTAATTGTGTAATCTTGGGAATGAGGATGGATATCAGCGGTGGTACTACATGTTAATTATTGTAGGAGATGTGCTGTGTAAGGGACATTGAGGCATCGCGTGTGTTTGCATGTGCCATTCTTTTCACTTGATGCTCTGACCATAGGACGATTAGACTTCAGTTTTTGCACCTAGCTATGCCCATGCATGGAGCACAAGTATGCTGTGATCACTTCTGCTCTAATTGCTATTGTTTACATAAAATGCTCATGTCATTATAAATCCTAGAGATCCTCCCCCCCTAAAAAAACGAAAAAAACAAAAAATAACTCAACACGGCAATCAATGCCTTTCTTGCAATCTAATATTAAATTTGCTGTTCAAGTGTTTCAATTTGTCAAAGTGTTTTGATTTATCGTGCAGTAACATATGCATGTATAAGACTGTTCCAGTTTAATCTATGACGATGGTACAGGTACATGTGTAACAAGACAATTGTTGCCTGCGGTGTTGGCCACCAGGGTCCCTAAGTTTTGTACACAAAAACCCATGAACCCCTACACCACAGGCAACAGTAGTTAACTGTACATGCCCACATTATGCCAATGGTATGGAGCAAACAGATGTACTTGCATCTATTTCAAGTGCATTTATATTCATACCATAAACCAAAGTGTTAGTAATTGTAGAAGATTCCATGAAGTGGATATCCTGGTAGTGGGAAATCACCCGAAATGCCACTGAAGGTTGCCTGTAGCCTACAGTATATAGGATAATGTGGCATGTAGGATCTGAAGATGTGACACAAGACTCAGGACACCTTGAGTGTTTTAAAAGGGACACAACATGACGCTATATGTTTACATGTCTTAGCACTGTATTCACCTGCTGTCATTAGAACAACATTACACACAGACAACCCTTGTTATTTGGGAATGCTCTTGGTATTAATTGAATTTCCTGTCAAGTGTTTAATCAAACCACTGGCTCGCCCTACACCTAATTGAGTTCTGAATGAGCCGTCGCTGTCTGAAAGGTGTGTTCTAGGCTGCATGGAGTCACGTTTGCAATTAAAGTCTCAGTGAGCAAGGACTACATTATAAGATCAAGGATTACGAACGGCCGTCAGCTTTATTGTGGTTCTGTCCTCTTGTACAAGCCAACTGATTGAAGATGTTTTGCTGAAAGAAGATGTTACTGTCCATCAGTCAAACGTAATGTAAATTCTGCCATTATGAGGACCTCTGGATATTTTAAACCGCATAATTAAAGTATAGCTGCAATGAATTGTTTTTAGACACAGTTTTTCTGCAACTTTGTACTCTTCTTCATTATATGAAACTGTTTTGCGTTCCTGTTTTGTTAATTGCATTGAAAAGTGCACTTTCACACTTAAAATTATCCACGTGTTCCAGGATAACTGAGGGTGCTGTGGCTGCGATGGCATTCACGGAAGACGTTGTTCATTGCATGGGCTTTTATTGTCAAATTGTGAATCCAGAATATAAATAATTATTGAATATTTCTGAGAAAGCAATTGATGCTTGCTTAATGCTGTGCACATGACAAACAATGAATCGGCAAAGAAGAGAAAATTTAGTCCAACAAAATCTGCAATCTGATTTTTGTGTACAAACCAATGAAACACTGCTTTCTTCCTGGGATGACATTACAGTTTTGCTTGTGAATATGGAAATACTCATTAGCATAAAACAAAAGGGCAGTAAAACACTGTACCCTTTGAAATAGTGAAACACAAGCGGAAAATAAGGTGAATTGAGACAAAAAAATAATTGGTTGCAGTAGCCCTTTGACCAACTTGATGAACACTATTCCTGGTATAATTGATTGTCCTAATACATGAAAATAGTCAACCATTTCTTGGAAATTTAGAGATGAAATCATCAATGCTTTTGCAAAAAGACAGTATGAGGCAGTGACCAGATGCATTTTGACATGGGTGAAAAAAAATTGTTGGATCGGCATACAACTACTGGTCTATTTCTTGGATTATGTCTCGTGTATTAGGCTGTCGCCAGCCATGCCATTATGACATTAATGTTCTTGTCTTCAGGACATGAATACATCAGCATCATACTTCCTGCTGCTGACAAAACTTGCCTGGGTGATGGAAATGAAATGGAGTTAATTGGCAGCGGGCACTCCAGTAAATTTTAATTCTGTGTTGTTTGTTACACAGTGCAGGGTGCTGCTGCTGAGGAGGACTGTTTCTAGACTGCCTGTAGACTAGGTCAAAGATGTGTTTTTGGAGGGCAAAAACTGTAAGGAAAAAATCCTCTTTATTCTGAAAAATAGATGCATGCTGGAGTGAGGTCAGTGATCAAGTGGTGCATGTTGACTGTATATGAGGCACTCAATGGGTCTACATGCAACATATTTTAAAAGCTACAATTAATCCTTCAAAATGTATGCTTGTGTTATCCTTTTTCCAATGTTTGGTTTTCTATTTTAAGGCATTTTGGGGCCTTTTTGTTTTTTCGGTGATGGAAATTGCCAGATGTCTGGAACAGTTTTAAATACTTCAAAAGTACACTTTTCAATACATTTAACCCCCCCTCAAAAAAAAAGTCAAATAGTTTTCATACCTTTGCACAAGAGATCCATTTCAAAAAAAATATCTTACAACCCTTTCAGTCTCTCCAGGGAAAATTGTTTGCCATTTTCAAATCAGTTGACGAGAAATTTGGAGAAATTCCACTGATATCTGATGCATGAAAGAGAGAGAGTTCCACCATAGGCAGTTTGTACCAGGTTGCCCACTCCTCATGCATCGCATAATGAATTTAGACGTTTACACGTGCAAGGATCGGATGGTTGCACACCGGAAATAATCCAAGTGTGTCAGACCAGTCAAGATCATTGTACTTTAGCAGGCATTAAATGACAAGACACAAGTAAAGGGTACATGCAGATTTGATCCTGAAGGGTACATGTATGTGATGCATGTGTGCTTTTGTGTATGAGCAGATTGAATTTATCTCTGCAATATCAGCTGATTAATTACCATGAAATGGTCTAAAGGGAAGTAGCCCACAGAGATGTAGAAACTCGGTCATTTGCTGTGGACAGTACACTTGCAGAAATCTTCATTTTGATTTGTTTTCTTTAATGGCTGTAATTTACCGCTCCTTCCCTCAGGATATTGACGGTTTATTTCTAACTGACAGGACATCGTGTGCTGGGCCGTGTCAGCTTTCCCCAGCGAAATGCTAATATTGAGCAGTTTTTGCTGGATGATTCATTTGACAAAATGTCGGTAACAACATTGAGGTCTTGTTTGCCTAGGGCACGCTCCTTGTGTGATTTCCTGCACTGACCAAAGTGTACCGTGTGTGTAGTTTTGTGGATTAACCTGATAGATCTAGTGTGGCATCCCAGCTTCGGTGACTTTCACGAGAAGGTGTCAAGTTTTGACAGTTAATAATGAATGGTGATTCAAAAAAGTGGTTTTATAAAGAAATGACATTATAGGAAACACCATTGGCATAGCCAAGATTTTCCAGGGTGAGGGAGGGGCAGGCAAAACCCTTTTTTCTCAGGATAAAATTTCCAGGGCCAGAGTATGTACAGTACTCATGAGCTTTTAAAAAAATGGCAATCAATAGCTGATGAAAGGGGGCCAATTTTGAGGTTTTCTTCTAATCTTTCATCTCATATTCTTAATTTCTTATGCTTTTTTCCTGTTTTTTTAGTGTTTAATTTTTTCTGTTCTGTTTGGTTGACAAGTAAACATTTGTGATTGAAATTGAGAAAGCATCAAGAAATTGTCATTTGTACATGTATACCCTGCAAATTGAATATTTAAAACAGATAAAGCAAGTGTGAAAAGTGTTTGACTAAATAAAAATTAAATAAAATATTAGAAGTTTGAGTGTCTTAAGTTTTAATAAGTAAATTTGATTTAATATTTGGCTGAGATGAGGTTTTCTGATTTCACTGGCAGTTTTGAATAAACAAACAGTATGCTGACATAAATTCAGGCACTTTTTGAGAAACAATGAAGCAGACAGATTAGTTCAGTAATTGATGAGCTTACCACAAGTGCAGAGATAGTAGGTTTTTAAATGGAAGAACTTAACTTAGTAATTGTAAAGATGAAGAGAGAAATTAAGTGACTGGAGCAGGATTGGAACTTGTGACCTCTGGAACACCTTACTGGTGCTCTACCAACTGTGCTATTCAACCCTCTGTTGGCAGTTCAATCTTTCTCATCTTCAGGGGGTGCTAGTCAGCTCTTCAGGAGGCAGTACTGTAGTCAGAAACCATATGTCCCAAAAAACCTGGGAACTTGTAAATTGGCTACTTGTAAAATTCTTCTTAGCTCTGCATTGATAAATCTTCCTTGTAATATTTCAAATCTGGAAACTCAATGGACTTGATCACCGGATGGAGGAAATACCTGTGTATGTATGTGCCGTTGACAATGTATGGATTCGCACTAGGGATTTATGTATTTTATGTTGATATCCCAAATGTGTTCAAAAATTTGAGTAATACAGAATGACATAAATGCTTAATAATCCATTGATGTTCTAAGGTGTGTTAAATATTCTCAATTGATCAGTCATGTTCCCCAGCTTCATTGCTCTCAGACTGTGATCCAGACTTTATACACGTATTTCAGGTGATATGCCAGATTGGAGCCATCCTGTGTTCCTCATATACCATGACCCTTGCAGACAGAGGCCAGGACTAGACCGAGCCTGGACTGTTGGCACTGTACTCAGGAAGAAACGTCTTCAAGATGAAGAAATCTGCACACCTGAGGGTTTACAAAGGTAGATATCCAGAAGTACATGTATGTCCTCAGAGTAAGGCCAAATAAAAAAAGAAATCAATCGTTCATCCTCAACCTGTATCCTTTTTGAATCAGCATCTTTTTGTCATTTAACTTTTTTTCTCTCGCTTAAAAAATCTTGTTTTTAATCCATATTAACAAGTTACTTTAATGAAATTCTGGGAACATTGTCGACCTGAACATTTTGACTCCACATATGCTTACTAGTAGGATAGCTCATAAAAAGCTGGCATTTATTTTGAACCGAAAAGTTTCTATCCATTTTGAATTTAATTCTAATATTAGCGGCCATCTTGGAAAAAAACTAAAGTGAAAAGACCATCATCCTCCTCATTTTGGAAAAACCCGGACAATCAGCTGATTTCTTTTTATTTGGCTTAACCTTTTCAATGATATACCTTTCTGGTGCTGTCATGTGCTTTGGATTTGCAGTGCTCTGGAAGATCCTCAGAGGAGGAGTAATTATCTTGAGGATTCTGAGGCCTTTGAGGCTGGAGGTGAGGCTTTCCGTTGGGGAGCCTCAGACAGCAGTCACTATGAGGGAGCTGGCAGACGCAGGGTGGACTACATCCTGTACAGCAATCACAGGACACATATGCAACAGGTGGGTCACCCCCTATATGCATGGTGATTCCCTGGGTATTGAAATGTGTGGCTTTATTGAGAAGTGGCTGTGTGATGGGAATCTAATGTAGTCGTTACTATGAGGGAGCTGTCAAATGACAGTCAACCAAAGGAAAAATGTGAGGGATTCGGAATTACTGTTGTAATGAGATTCAAAGTTAGGCTATCAGATGTGGAGTCTCGGTTAAATTGTCAGAGTTGGCCTGACAGACTACATCCTTATAGAGTAACCGTACTTATATGATGTATGCAGCAGGTATAGGGCATGGTGTCTTTGCTGAGGTGTGAGGTTTCAGGCGAGGCTGCACTGTGGAGTCTCAGTTAACAGGGCTGTGAAATTTCCCCTTTTAAGCAGATTTCCTCTTTGTTGTTGAAAATGCGGAATTTATTTTTCCCCTTTTGACGGACCAGATTTCATCTTTTTTCTTCCTTTCGTAATTAAAAGAGCCGATTTTTCCATTTTTTGTCTTTTTCTCTCGATGCGATAGCCAGGCCAATGTTTGCGCGTCCTCTTTCATGTACATAGATAAGGCACAGTGTACATGTACATGTAGGTTGAGGACTGATCAAGTTATAAGGGTCGAGATGCTGTCTGATGCCTTGGATAGCTGCCCCTGTACATGGGGGGAAGGTGACAGACAAGATATATGTTACATACGAATCCGACTGAGCAAAACATATTTTAACTATAGAGTTTAATTCGGAGCTGTTCGTTCTTTTCTTTCCATAGATCTGTGAGGAGTACAGCTTTGTCAGTCAGCTGGCCACATTAACTGATCACATTCCACTCAGCATGACATTTTCTTCAGCTATTGGCCCAGCAGCTATGCAGGAATGGCCCCAGGCTGTCACTCCAGACAGCGATGGTTCCCATTCCTGCAAGATAATGTATGAAACTACCGTTTGATAATTGGTGTAAGGCCGGCCATTGCGAGAAGAATCCTTGTTGGTCATTGTCATCCACTCCAGAACTTTTGTTTCACTTTCAATGGAAACTAAATGGTGTATAGTGTGTGGCTATTAGAAGTATCACATGTAGTTACTGATATTTTGAATATTTCCTAGGAAAAAAACTTGTTCAGGATGAATAGAAATTAAGCCCAAGACATCTATGAATATGGTATGTGCCTGCTTGTGAGAGGGGTCCTTTTTATTTTAATATTTTTAAGCATTGGCTCCAATGGCATGGATGGGGGGAGGCAAGGGGGTTGTTACCCCCTTCCCTGTGGGGACTCTTACCTCCCTCGCCCCACCCTTTGAATATCGGGGGGGGGGGCGGGAGGGAGCATCGCCACACCATCTGTAGTGTACATGTACATATAGGTCGAGGACTGATCAAGTTATAAGGGTCGAGATGCTGTCTGATGCCTTGGATAGCTGCCCCTGTACATGGGGGGAAGGTGACAGACAAGATATATGTTACATATGAGTCCGACTGAGCAAAACATATTTAAACTATAGAGCTCAATTCGGAGCATCGCCACACCATCTGTAGTGTGTTGTGTGTTGATACATGTACATGTATATGTTACTTTAGTAGCTTCTCGAAAGAGCCATATTATACAAACTCAGTGGCATAGCCAAGGAGGGCATCTGCACCCCTATTGGCACTGCTGCCCCCCCCACTGAGAAGAGCCTTGCTATGCAACTCATTAGCTCACAATGGTTTTTAATTGGTATCCATTTATGGTTGCTAACAACCAACTGCATTTCACCATGTGAAGGCTATGCATGCAGCGCTTCCATTTCGATAAGCACTTTCCTGAATTTTTTCCCTTCAACATCCTGCTGAGTGAGCAGTATGGGTGGATCAATATGAATTACACAACCATGGTTGCTTTTTCCTTATTGGGAACCTTCTGGTTCTGTCTCTCACCAGGCATTGCTGCAGTACCAGGGGGGGTCCTGATTCGGCTGTATTAGGATTATACGGTAGCTGTGAGAACCCCCGTTGCTATTGCTTTCTCTACATAGTTTTAGTGACTTTGCAATTCTTATTTTACTTTGTTCATGATTCCTCTAGCTGCTAGATTAATGACTACTAAATAGCACCTCCAATTTCATAAGCAACACATATAGTCGGCAAACTTTCAGCATGGAGTTATAGGCAGCACTATTTGCCAGGGAAAATCCGGGGAGAATTTTTCTCTGGAAAATCACTCACTTTTCCAACCTAACCAAAGATAGTGCTGCAGATAAAATTCTGGAAATGGACTAAATTTACAATTTTGAATAACTTGCTGAAAAATCACAAAGGTTGGAGATCTATTTAATACCATGTTTTGTAGTGTTCAGTTGCGCTTTGTGCAAAAACTTACATAAGCCTATGCAAAAAGATCCCACCATGCGGTAAATCTGTCAGAAGGGACATTTTCGGATTGCAACATTTTGGTAAGGAGGCAGTGTCAGGGGATGGAAGAAAAATAAAATTCACTCTGATGAGTCAAAGTCACACATTGTTCTAATGGATTGGTATAAAAAAAGGAAACTGGCTATGATCCAGAGAAACATGAAATAAATGGACACTTCTCTGGCTTTGCCTTGATACTGTAAATGGTGAATAATTAATTAGTCTCTTTTTTGACACTGTCACTGCAATAATGGAAAGTTCATTGGAAAAACATGAACTTGAAAAGTATCCCAAATTGATTTTTATATTTTGTCATTTGCCCCCCCCCAAAAAAAGGTGGATTGATCCATAATCAGAAAATGATAGAAAAGTAATGTGACCTAGATCTACTTGTGACATTTAACTAAGTCAATGGAAACACTTGATCAAAGTGTGAAATTCAGAAGAAGTGAGGCTCCAGTAACCCTTCAGGGTGTAAACTTATCTCACATAATGCAACTGGGAGAATGCATTAAGCTGTATACTTATACTGTGGTCATGTGTGGGGTAAGTGTGACCCGTGCTGTGGCCCCAAGCGACTTCGTAGTGTATGCTGTACTAATTTAAATGGAGTGATCGTTATTTTTTTGTGGGGGGTGGGTAATTAGAGTTTGATCTTTTGTGTTGGGATTGCTGTCATGGATGGAGGTCTCAGTGTATCAGCTGCTGATAACATTCTATTCGGCTACCCCAAATAAAATTACATCAACTTTGCCTTCTGCTTGTATTTTTGTAGAGGATAAAAATTGAAAACCATTCCTTATTTCCACCTGGCTACGTGGCTCCTTCCAAATAATGAAACACCTAGTGGCATTGGTCTGCAACTGTCCCTCAAGATTGTGACAGTTTGAAAGTTCATATTTCCTGGAGCAAAAAAAGAAAGCAAGGTAGCTTATTACACTAATTATCTGCGAAGGCAAAGATGAGTTCTGATGTTGTTAATAGGGAGTTCTTCCTGAGCCCATAGAGTTGGATATCATTATCATATCCAACTCTATGCCTGAGCCACATAATTTACATATCCATTATCATAGGCAAAGACCAGGCACAAAGTATGCTCTAGTATGCAAGCCTTTCAAAGCTTTGATAATGACAAAAAATGTAGGGGCATCACTGGTGCTGGATGAGCACAATGAAGACAACCATGCGTGGCACAAATAATAACCTTTTTTTTTCTATTTTCATGAATAATCACTTATTACCTTTGTCTTGATAATTACCAGAGTTTAATGGGGGATTTGTTGCAGTTTGATGAGAACTCATTGTATTTCTATATTTGTGTCTATCTAGTGTGGTTGTCATTAAATCTTTGGTTTAATATTATTCCAAAGATAAAAACCAAAGATGCTCTAATGTATCAGTTTGTAATGGAACTTATTACTATCAGTTTTCAGGTGAGAATTCTTTATAACTATTTGTATTTTCTATTTAAACCGTTTGGTAGTGTGGAGTTTAATCAGTGGATTTTTTTTTACTCAAATTTGCTTATTCTCATTTTATATTGTTCGATATTTTGGTTACAATGTGCAATTTGCTGGTAAGTTGATCAAAATATTGTTCATCATTTGGTATTTAATGAATTTGTTTCTTTACATCAGTGTAACAAGAAGTGTAAATTTCAAATTATCAGTAATTTGTTACTCAAAACTTTTCAGTACTTTATTGAAATCAACTTTGTCTGGTTTGAAAGTACTTTTGCTAGTAACTTTCTACTTCAACATACTGTTTGTGTACATTTTGTTTGTTGGTTAATCTGAACCAGAAGATTTTTTTACATTATTTTGATACATTCTGATTGCTGGAATTTGATTTCATGTTCAAAATATAATCCAAAGATATCTGAAGTTTGGATATATTTTTATCCTATTTATCTGTACATGTGACAATATTCAGTATAAAACTATATTACAATGACTGTGTGCAATACGCAAGTCTGTCTGACACAATAGTATTCATTAATAGTGCAATTTGTTGAGAAAAAAAATATATATCATTTTCTGAAGTGTCATCAAATTGAGTTGCTGGTTCTTGTGTCCTTGTGTAATGTCATTGTTAATGTGAAGTAGAGAACTGCATGTACAATGGAACATTTTTGCTGATCAAGAGGGTTCCTGCGCAACACATCAGCTCTCACTGCCTTTTTGAAGAAAAAAAAAACAAACGGCAGTACATCTCATTGTGAATGGTTTTCTGCATTTATCGTATACATCATGCCTTGACATTTATTTTCAAAAAGTAGCAAAATAAAATTGTATTTCATTGATCTTTAGGAAAAAAATAGTTCCCATTTGATTCTTTTGTATATGGCATATTCAAAAAGAAACAATTTTTATGAACAAATGTATATCAATTTCATGGTCGTTATCAAGTCTCCAGGTATTTGCCTATTAAAGACATGAACACAAGTTAACTCCAAATACGTTAAACATTAAATTTTAGACTGAATCTAAAGCTTTAAAACCTACTGTTTTGAGAGAAAAAGATTACTGTTTGTTATAGATGACGTGCCCTAGGATGTTTTGCCAAGCCTCGGTATACAACTGGGCTTGACCCACTTTGCCTAACCATGACAATACACTGACATTTACAACTTTATTTTATAATATTATACATCTCAATATTTTAAGTAAGAAGTATTCTGTAGGTTTGCTGTGGCCTGCAGGAAGTCAGTGCCAAGTGACAAGAAAACACATTTTTGCAGACTCTTAGCATGTAATCATTTTTGAGACTTAGTGGAGACAAAACGCTTTATTCTCCACAAGAGTCATTGGTTTTGGTAAAAAAAAAAATGGAATAATTTTAAGAATTTTTTGTATATCCTCAGATCATAACCACAGTTCTTATTGGTTGGTAGCATCCTCAAAAACAAAATAAAGCTATTAATAGCATGTGCTAGTAATGTGCACATATGCCTTAGTACTGATGTTCAAGGCACTGCATTATCCTTGCTCACAGGGCAAAGCATCCCTACATATTCACCCATATAACAAGTCCCATAAGCCTTTTAGAAGCAAGGAGGACACAAGGAGGGCGCTATTTCAAGTGAGCAGTTTTGGAGCAAACAGATTTTACCCAAACCAAATACCACCATCCTATTGTGTCCGCCATGCTTCTAAAAGGCTAATGGGAGTATACAGTGGGTATTCGGGTACAAAATGCTACTCGATCATCTCTGGCCTCACAAGTGCTCACTTATCCTCGGTGGAGAGAGTAGAGGCACAATGGGCCAACCTGACACACCTAGTGCAGATTCGTGAACAGATGAGGTCCACGCTGTGGATTCAGCCATGTCCACAGGCATTGTGGGGTAAACGTTGTTTGTGAAGTGAAAAGAACAGGAACAGCCAACAAAACTATTCACAAAAAAATAACTATTTTCCTGACTTTTCTGAGATGCATGAAAACAGAATTATCCACAGTGGGTCAGTAACGTAAACAAGTGATTATGCCCAGCGGATAGATTTGAAACTTCCCCCATCTTCTGAGTGAAACTTACGTAACTCAACCACTAGGCAACACGTCCAACGTGCTACTTTACAAAACAATTTCATTGCATTGTGGTTGCTTACTGGGCAAAATTCAGAGTGAGACTTTCAGCTCTATAGATAACAACACTGATTGCACAGAACCTGTCAGTCATTATTAAATTCAATTTACATTGCCTATTTCTTTGGCCACAAGGCAATATTTTAACATTTGTGAAATAAATGCTACTTTATGCAAAGATCAAAACAATTACGCGAGTATCTACTCTGTGACCAAGCACTCCCACATTGGCTGAGCTGAGATGATAATCTTTAGTATGGCACTGGGTATGTTCAGAGACAAACTGTAGTCCAACTATTTCAAAGTCTCACGGTCTTATTTAACTTTCACTCTTGTAGTCATAAATCATTCATATATTGACCTTGTGTATAATTTGATATATACACTGCAAAACAGAAATAAATGTCAATGATTATTTCTGTTTTGCAAAAAACAAACTACTGGTCCGTGTCTTCTTAGCAATGTGGGGGGGGGGCAAGATGGGCAAGTTGGTCCCCCCATATTGCCAATTTTTTTAGGGCTTGAAATCACCAGTATTTTAGAAATGATACGACCACTTTCCCTTTGTGTGAGTGGGCAGGGGAGGATGAGGATTTTTTCAAGGATGAGAAAAAAAAGGCAAAATTTTTGGCAAAATGTGCTCCCCTTCCCCACCAAAGGCCTGGACATGCCATGGAATACAGTACTGCTCGAACAACATAGTTGAACTGTCAATATACTTAACCCAAAAGTGACATCGAATACTTTTCATAGCCAGAAAAAGTGTATAATGGAGTTGTAAGAAAAATCTGTTGCTCAAGCCCTTTAATTTACAAGAACGATTTTTGATAAAAAAACCGACCAACCATGCCATGGGCATGTCACAGAAAAGGAGTTTAACAAGTACCGCTGTCCTGTACAACTTGATGCCACTTTCCTTGATCCGAGTGTAAATGTGCATAAATAGCCAGGGTAGCGTACATATTACAAATTGTTGGTCTGCTGAAACCACAGAGTGAGAAGTCAGATGGTATGCTGCCCTTACACCAACGCGACGCTATCCATCGCTGCATTGCCGATTGAAATGCCCCCCTCGGCAACGTTGACACTGTGTGATTTCATGTAGTAACCGGTAGTTTTATTCAGAAGTATTTGATCTCCATGGCTGTTGAGGAAAAAAAAACGAAACAATGATATTCATTAACTTTATATGGACTATGTAGAATTCACTGAAAATAGCCCATTTTCCATCAATGAGACACAATTTGGCATTGCGATACATGAAAACAGGTCATTTCCCAAATTTTTCTAAATGGGGTATCTCCTAATGCGAATCGTAAACCGCTGCTTTCAACAATTAAATGTTACTTTGGCTATGTCTCTCCTCCAAACTTTATGAAACAAACCCCAGGAATGTCCTCTCCTTGTACAGGGCTGAGAGCCTTGACAGAAGGGCCACAGGGAATGCCTTGTGCAGGGACTGTACCTCACTATGACCCCAAATGGTCCGTACTCTGTCACCATGTCGGACGCTTGGTGTGCCCGCGGCCCCGAAACCACGTAATTCTTGAAAACCTGTCCATGGATCTTTTCCATAAGGATGTACGCTCCACGCTCCTCCTTCCCACTCAGTCTCTTAAGCTCCGCCTTCAGCTCACTATCGTACAGATTGTTTCCTGCATGAAGAAAAAAGATGAGTTTGTAAAGCCATTAATACGACTTCGAAATGGACAAGTTCGACTCTATAGCTGCGCAGCATGGAAAATGAATAGAAGCCATGACAGGAAGCTGGACTCGTTTAAGTACAAATGTTTGAAGAAGATTAGGCAAATATGGTGTCCCAACATTATGTCAATGGGCAAACCGAGCATCGTAACTCAAGCTAACCCAATAAGCCAGGAAGTAAAATGGGAGATGGTGAAATTAGAATGGCAAAGCCTTGACAAGGGAAGAAAACATCACTAGAGATTTGCCTGAACTTGGCGGCCTGAAGGTGTGAGGAAAGTTGACAAAGGAAAAAGTAGCAATGAAGAAAAGAAAAGAAATCATATTAGATCCATAATGGAATGCGGCAAGAAATCTTGTCACACAGGAAATATGGAAACTGAGCATGGAGGTCTTATGTCAAAGCCAAGTGGCGCGAACAGGAGAGGTTGGCAAGGCAACTGGAAGGAAATGGACAAATTCACTGGCTTCTAAGAAGCATACGTGTCTCAAACTAAATAACACGTGGAATATTCCAATTTGAGCACAAGCCACTCTTTGAAAATAGCAACAAAATCCTGCCGGGCGACACAAAATAAACAATAGACACAGGAAGTGCAACTCATTTTCAAGACATGTATTGTCCAATTTTCATTGGCATGTAGTTGTGCAGTCGTTTACGACGGCGAGGTGCTTGCAGCTGAAATGGCTGCCTAATCTGATTTGTTTTGTAGGTCAGGGCTTTTGCACAAAGCAGATAAACGGTTAGACTGGGAATAATAGATGTTGCTTTGTAATGAACACAGGCGTGCATGGCAAACGCATACACATGTATGCTAGCATTATTATTAGCGTGGACATTACTTCAAATTCTCAGTACAAACACTCACTTTTTCTTGCACTGTGAACACTCTAAAATGGGATTTTTGTTACCAGTTTCTTCGACTGTTCCTCTCCCTTTTGGCAACAAAACCTGACCACAAAATGCCTTTAAAGCTGTCTTTCAGATCGGGACAAGCATTGTGTGGACCCAAAGAGTATGTGAGGACATTTTTTTTTCTCATGTCCACACAAGCAATAGCGCACTTGTATACACACACCACACAAAATCCATTAAACCCACACAAAACCATTATTTATGCAGCTGCATTATTCAAAATCTGCATTATTCATGCAGCATCAAAACCTTGCAATATGTCTACAAGAAATAGAAACAGATGATCCAACATTAATAAATACGTCAACAATGTGCAACTTGACCCTGTTTTAACACTTGATAATGCCTGCTGAGAAGTGATAATGCCTGCTGCGTAAATCACCTGCAGACATCTGGATACGAGACTGATTCTGATTGGTAAATAGTCTAATAGTCTGTGTGCACGTGGCTTGCCAAGCGCATGCCAAGTCCATATAATGATATTCTTTTGGACAACTTGTGCAAGGAATATACCAGTTGACAGGGATGTTTGGGAGAATGCAAGTAAAAGTCCTGAACAAAACCATTGGAAATCCATCTCATATTGACTTCTTTTGACCGACTAAAAAGGTATTTATGAATGGGAATAATTATGTGTTTGGCTGGTCTTACCGGCTCAGGAGACTGAATGCTGATAATGCCCTCACCTGCAGCACAGGCATTAGTCTGGTCCATAAATGCAGTCAGTCTTACATGCATATTTCAGACTATCTAAGCCCATTTTTATTCCCTCATTAAAACCACAATTTTAAATTGTCCCTGGTGGAATGAACAAAGAAATGTCAAAATGAATTGAATTCTTAAAACATGAGTACAAAAACCAGAAAAAACTTCAGCCCGCACTTCCAGAAGTCTGCAAAAAATTTGTCCAGTACAAATTAAGAAAAAAACAACTAAGGAAGTCTGAAAGAAATCTGCCAGATCAACAGTATTTGAATATGGACTATATGAGCAGGTTTTTTACCTCCGCCTTCTCTCTGTGGCTTCAAGACGTATCTCTCGGGATTCTGGATGCCAATAACAGCTGCTGCATCACCCTCCTCTGTCTACAATATGAATCCAATAATATTCAGAAGATTTTTGTCATTACATTGCTTTATACTGAAATCAGATTGAATTTAAGTTGGAGTTACCATTTTGGGATTGATAAAGGTACATGTATACAAATACAGTCTTTGAAATGTGTCAACTTTTTTGACCATGTGAAAAAAGCGATAATTGTGAATTATAATTGTATAGAATAATTTTTTATAATTGTATAAGTTTGGCAGTTACAACTATGGAGGTTTAGCAGTAAAGACTGTAAATTATTTTTCTGAGTGTACAAAAACAGCTTGAAGAATAGGTAAACTGATGATGGTTGTTTATGAATCAAATGTATAGTTAGATCAAATAGAACTAATCGCCCTAACACTCTCAAATCCTTTGATTTCAATATGATTTTACATACACCCTAGGGGGTTAGGGTTAAGCTTTGAGTTGTCACTTTAAACCATGTGTATTTGGGTGTAAAGTCCTTTGGTTAAAGCTGCTACACCTGGCAAAGTTTTAGGCACTCATTAGAGTGTGACTGTCACACCCATGTACATTTAATCAGCTGAAACATGCAGACAGTTCAAGCACAAACTGTCACACAGACTACGTGCATGAATGTGTCTAGCCGACTGGTATTGGTCACTAAGATCCTATGGGTGCGATACCTTCCAATTAAAAATTTTTGTGAGAGCAAAATAAATAAGTTTTGGTGAGTGACTTGTCGCTTAGTGGCAAGCTACTCTGGTACGAACTCTCCCAGGGTACCAAGGCCCTCTTAATTTGCTCTCCAGTCTAGAGAAGGCCAACTGAAGTTAGCCAATGCCAGTGATTATCAATACCAACTTGGCTGTAGATGTGCCGAGGTGGAATCACTGCCGTCACGAACCCTAAAAGCCAGATTTATTCTGTGTGATTCACTGAATGATGATAGGTTGTTGAAAACCTGCCAAGTGTGACATGATTACTACTTAAAGTGGTTGTGGTTTATACAGCTTGCAAAGAGAAAAACTTGCGTCGTATCCAGGTTCCAGGTCAATATATCATTTCACCACAAGTTGGCATAATTAAGTCTACGCTAGAACTAGTCCGTCTGAGGATTCCAACAGTGTAGAGAAATGAAATTGTTCTGGGTCAAAACCATGATGGACAAATCCAAACAACAAAGGAAGGAAATCAAGGGAACCATATATTTTGGTTTCCGTCAGCCTCTCAGAGCAACAGATTCTCAGTTTGGAAGTACTTCTTTTAAAAGTGTGTAGTTTAGTTTTGGTACCCTGTTAATGTTTTCTTTTGGGGGGACCGACAAACAAAAAATGTATCAGCGCCTAGAAGAGCTGGGTTATTTTGGCCCAGCTCACAGCTGAGGGGGGGAGGGGCGATTCCACCTGCTAAAAACTCGACTGTGTCTCGCTCGATCTTTGGAAACTCTGCATGCATGTAAGGACACTCCTTATCATTATAACTGTGAAGTTTGAACTCAGTTGAACATATGGTTTTGTTGTTACAGTCACGTAAATTTCAAGGCTACATGTGTGCCATTCTGCATGCATTAAGCACCGCAGTGGAAAAAGAATAATATTTTTTGGCTGACCTGTCTGGGAAAAATGTGCACTGCGCAAGAACAGTATGTTCAGTTGTCACAAAATTGGTGTCCAAATGACCACAAAGAGTTACTCTAAAAACTCCTAAAGGCTCAATTCCTGTGGCAATATCGGACAAAAAGGTAGAGGGGGCGGATTCTGCTCCCTCCCCCAGCTCTTTTAGGGTTAAGAAATAATAAAATTTAAAATCCTTCTCTCTCTGAAACGTGACGCACAAGGCCCAGGTCATACTGATGCACAAACGTGCTCCTGATCCAGGCAATGGCCTCAGTGTCATCCAGGAATCGCTCCAGGACTCCAGGCTTGGACAGCTGCTGCTGGATCTTCTTTGTTCCGGCCAGGTGCCAGTTGATGGACGGGCAGGTCACGGCTAGAGATCGCTCCATCAATAACCTTGCTTTCCACTCCTGTTCGAGACAAGAGTTGCAGTTTTACTGGACCTGATAATGGCTGGCTTTTCTGGAGGCTCTGAACGATGTTAAGACGCCAGCTGGCTAACAGACAGCTAAGCTTTTCTTTTTATAGTTTTTCTCTGAAACGGGAATGCGTGGAGACTTTATAAAGGGAAAATTGGGAAAGGGACATAAAATGTTACAAGTGCCGCACATAAAACAGGATTACTGCATTGTCAAAAAGCAACATACTACATTTTTTCGTCAAAAATGTAATTGAGAGAAAAAACAACAGCTATCATTCACCAATTCAGATACCATGTTAAAAACTCTCGACATTTCAAAGAGATATTGAAATTACATGAGACTGATGTCACTCACCGTTTTGGTTGGGTAGTTGGACGGAGCATAGCCTATCCTAAAATACACAAAGGCAATCTCCTTACCATCCCTGAAATCAAAGATAAATAAAATATTTTTTCAAGGACGTTATCACATCCCCCAAAAAGCAGAATAATAATACACCCCTCCTCACCCTGAAGAGGACTGCCCTGTGTATCCAAGTTCAATTGTTCCACCATACAAATAGTTCTCTAAAGAACAGATATGTGTTTTTGGATGAATACAAATTTTGCCTGCAAACAATTAATGAATATAACGTGACAAGAAAGGCAAATGCCATACAATTATCTTCGTACTTAAGCTTTACTCTACTAGTATTTGTTATCAAGCAGACATTAAGAGATGATTATGACAATGGAATAACAAAACACCCTCACATGAAAAGTCTCCTGTTTTGATCGACTGTCGCCCTCTGCCCAACATCTGTCAGTGTCCTTCGCATGACCTTGATGGCCGGGTTGTACAACCTTATGGTGTGCTCAAGCCAGCAATGATCAAAGACATTATACTCCGCAGAGGAGACTAGGAACAAGACCCAGGCACTGTAGCGAAGAGAAAAAAGAAATTTGTGCCCAATTAGGTAAAGTGAAACAATATCATATGATTTGACATTCTTGAAGTAATGCAAGCCTGGCTACTGACCCAAGCTGATCAGGCTGCAAAATGGTAGCGTAAAATTAATGGTAGTAGCATCAACCGATTTCATGATATGATCTCCCCAGGCTTCTACTTTTTTAGTGAGAAAATGTTTCTCAAATATGAATTGAAAACAGAAAAAAAAGACCTTAACCACTTCCTGCCGCGGCAGGTATCAATGTCGTTGATGCTGGGCCAGGATATTTATCATTTTTTTCTGTTTCTTCATTTACTGGACACTTACAAACATGTGAAGGACTGTCTGGTGTCCACCCTAGCCTGACAGACAATCTATTGACGCCTGAGTATTTCAGCCAGGCCTTCAGCGTTATAAAAAAAGCCCAGATTGTGCGGTGTTATATAACTTTCTTTTGTTCATGAAAATGGCTCAGTGTGCTGCTGACCTCTTTTAAATAGGGGCCAGATTAGCACGCAGCGGTGCTGTGTAGCTCATCGCTGCGGTGGTGGAGCGCTTTTGTCCCCGGTGGTAATCCACTTGCTCTAAATGCCCCAAACTGTGGTATACTGTTTCAAAACAAGGCTGGATTATCTCCACTTTTGAGAGTGAAAACTTCGGTGATTCCCAGCGGCCTGGTCTTTTGTTCCGAGTACGGTCTTTTGTTACAAGGCCCTGTTC